TAGGGAAACCACAAACGATTCAGAGATCTGACACAAAGAAGTATGTGAAAGCTTTGATGAAAAATATAAACCTGTCCAGTCCTCTTGGTTCTGGAATTTGGGCTAGAAATGTCACAAGAATTGGTTTTCTTGGGAGTTTCCCAGGCTTTTTTGTTTTCAGTCTAGTTTGATCCATCACATGGGCAGCCTTTCTTGGAGCACGTCCTCCTACAGTGGTGCCTGGAATCAATAAATCTACAAAAAGGTGGAAATGACAAAAGCTTTTGGGCCAGGGCCTACCTTGGCACATACTGACATTTCCAGTGGCTTCGCTTGAGCTAAACTGATTTATACCCACAGTATATCTAGCACAGTCAGCTTCTGCTCTTATTTAGATCTGTGCAAATCCATTGAAGTTAGCTGAGAGCAGAAAGTCCTGTGTATCATATGCAGTAGTTAACTGAACCTTTGAAAATTTCAAAGGAAGGTGAGTTTAAGAGCTGGATCTGATTTTAACCAAATCCATTTGTTATTTCTGATGAAATATGTGATGTCTTTTTTTATTGCTACAATCAGTGGAAAAGATGCACTCTATTATAATCCCCATTTATTCTCAGATCAATCCCTTTTTTGATAATGATTTCAGTTATCTCAGCGGTGTACATACTTCTTTGCTGGAGCTAGCAGAAAAATGCTTCAGCCCTTTTGTGAAAGCTTTGTCCTCTTTCTGTTACTGAAGCACAAATTTTCTACTAGTGGATAGAAAAAATGTGACAATTTTTATACCAAATGGTTCCTTTTTAATTGAAAGTCAATATTTCAGCCAAGTATTTGTGGAACTGAAATCCTTCAAATGACTGCCCTTCAACCTGGGGAATTATAATAAAAGCAATTAAAATAGTAAAGCTCAGAAAATTCAGGCAAACCAAAAAGTGCAAGCATTCCTGAAAATATTCTGGGTTTCTAGGGATTGGTACAAGGTGACCTTTACTCTAAGGTCTGAATAAATCAATAAAACATGAAATAATCAAAATTTTAGTAAGAGTGGTGAAAGGTAAAGTTTTGGATCTCAGCACTAAAACAAGCCATTACAATGAAACATTTGAACTGCGGTTAAGTAGCTTTCTTTTAAAATACTTTTTGTAATGATGCTAAGATCTACCCTTAAAAAAGGTCATTTTAGTCTAAGAAGCACTGCTTTGAAATCAAGTGTGCAGGAGAAGTTAAAAATTTGACTC